CGGTTTTTGTTGCCGATGATGTCGATGTCGTCGGCATAAGCCAGAAATTGCACGCTCTTGTAATATCGGCATAAGCCAGCAATTGCACGCTCTTGTAGTAAATTGTTCCTGAGCGGTTCAGTTCTGCAGCTCTTATTATCTTCTCCAACATCAGATTAAAGAAGTCACATGAAAGGGAGTCGCCCTGTCTGAAACCCCGTTTTGTGGCGAACGGCTCGGAGAGGTCTTTTCCAATTCTGACGGAGCTGGTGGTATTGCTCAACGTCATTTTACACAGCCGTATGAGTTTTGAGGGGATGCCAAATTCAGACATAGCGGCGTATAGGCAACTCCTTTTAGTGCTGTCAAAAGCGGCTTTAAAGTCGACAAATAGGTGGTGAGTGTCGATCCTTTTCTCGCGGGTCTTTTCCAAGATTTGGCGTATTGTGAATACCTGGTCTATGGTGGATTTGCCAGGTCTAAAGCCACACTGATAAGGCCCAATCAGTTCATTGACGGTGGGCTTCAGTCTTTCACACAATACGCTCGATAAGACCTTGTAACCTATGCTTAGAAGGCTGATCCCGCGGTAGTTGGCGCGAATGGCGGGGTCACCTTTCTTGTGGATTGGGCAGAGCACACTTAAATTCCAGTCGTCGGGCATGCGTTCATCTGACCATATTCTGCACAAGAGTTGATGCATGCACTTTATCAACTCCTCGCCGCCGTACTTGAATATCTCAGCTGGCAGGCTGTCAGCTTCAGCGGCTTTGTCGTTATTCTGCCGCGTTATTGCTATTCGTACCTCGTCATAGTCAGGCGGTGGAACGTCGACTCCGGCATCATCGACTGCGGGCTCGGGTTCTTCTTCTCCACAACTTTCCGTGCTGCTACCATTTAGTAGGGTAGCAGTGGTTATCTTAGGGCATAGTAGTTAAGGGAGTCCCTTTAGAGATGCAAAAGATTCGACTCCTCGGACAGCGAAATTTTTATCTTTTTTTAAAAGTATCTTTTTTGTTTTCTTTTTAACTTAAAATTTTTGCATCTTTTGTATGTGTTTTCTAATTTTTTTCCATACTTTAAATTTATATTTTGTTGTTCTCTTTTAATTAAAATTTCTTTGAAATTTTTAGATTTTTTTGTTTTGAAAAGAAAAGTATATATTAATTTTTAAAAACCCTTTTATGTATTTTTTCTATTTTTTACTAAAATTTTTTTTGAGTTCTTAATTAAATTTACTTTTAACTGTTAGATGTTATTGCTTGAAAATAGAAAAAAATTTTGAAGATCATTCAATTTTTATGAACTTATGTATTTTATTTTTAAAAATTAAAGAATAAATTTTTTTTTAATTTCATTTAACTTTTAGAAACTTTTTAAATTGACATTTTCTGTTTTTTTTTATATAGCTTGGTTTTGCTTTGTTAATATTATTGTCTTTTAGATTTTAGATGTTATTGCTTTAAAGAGAAAAATATTTGGTTTTTAATTTTATTTAATTTTTAAGCGCTATTTTCTTCTTTTTTGATTTAATTGTCTGCTTTTCTAATTTAAGCATAAAAAGAAGAACAAATTTTTAATTTCGTTAAATTTTTAAAAACGGTTTTATCTATTTTTGCTTTATTTTCATCTTAATTTTTACTTTTTTAATTAAATTTTATTTTATTTACTAGTTTTTATTGCTTTAAAAATAAAAATATATGCATTTTTTAATTTGATTTTATTAAAAAAAACGTATCGCTAAAAGCGAACAGCATAAAGCTAACACTTTCTCGTTAGCAGATCTTTCAACTAGTCTTTCGAAAGATAGTAAAGAGCTTTCAAGACAGTTTCCATAATTGCCCTGTAAGTTTCTAAGTAAAAATCAACGTAGTTTTATATTCACATTATTTACTTGTATTTGTATTCGTTTCCTTGCCCCTTTTTTCATACTTCTCCTTAGTGCTTTAGGAACACTGCAACTGTTAAAGTCAGACTAAACAATTTGATCAATTATGTAAAAAAAAGCACAATTTCAAACCTAACAGCAACTAAGTGGCGCTTCAATACAACCTTAACTGCCATGCAATGTTTCTGCTTTTACGAGCACTTCCCTGAATTCTATTACTTTCGCGCGCTCACACTTTACAAAGCTACATGCATCAATGAAATTTCTAATTAATTTGCTACAACAGTTTATTTAATTAAAATTGATTACTAATTCGCTTACCGAGTTGGTGGTAGTACAATTGCTGCACCAACAACCAGCCAGCTAACAACATACATAGATACATAGATACATATGTGACAGGAGACAACGTCAGCTTTCGTTAGCTATTTGTCATTGAATTGCACTTTTATTTGTTCTTGTATTTTTGTTCCCACGCATTTCCTCAATGTTGCACCTTGCGTGTTATTCTCTGCTTGTCATTTTAATAGCTCAGCTCGTCTGCCAGTTGCTTGACCACCTTTTTTCCGCTTGACCATCTCACTACGCTTGTGTTGGCATTAACGCAGCCAGCGCGGGCGAAATTAAATACGGCAATACGTTGGACCATTAAATAAAGTGCAAAGATGCCAATTAAAGCGATTGAAACAGCTAATGATAAGTAAAATTCCATGGAAGAAAACTTCATTTCGCAGCTGTGTGTAGGTGGTAGAACATACGTACATACATATGCACGTACATACATACGCATGGTATGTGGGAATATTTTTAATAAGTTTTGTACTCGTATAAGTAAGAGTGCTTGCGTAAGCTTAAATACATATTATGTATGTATGTATTTTCATTTAATTGATTGATAATTATCAACAAAGTGGAAGGCCAATCTTAAGATTAACAAAAAAATATAATTGACTATCTTTTGAGGCTGGCGTTTTAAAACTTCTTAATAAAATATTTACACAAAAATAATTATTCTCAAAAAAAACGGAAATTTCAGCCTGGTCAATAAAACTTTTTAAGTACAAAGTCCTTATTGGGATATGCCAGCAAGGTCTGAGCTTTTGCTTTAATTTAAAGTTGATTTTTTCCTATGGTCACATTAGCATCTTTTGTATTGGTATGCTTGGCTGCTCTGGATTGCAAAATTTCTTGTTTAGATGCAGTTAAAAATTTTTAGTGAGTCAAATTTTAGGCACTATACTGGGATAGGCAATATGGTAGTCCACGGACGGGCACTTAGTCCTCTCTCATGCTGTCCATGCTGTTACCACCTAATAGATTTTTCTGGAAGGGGGCCGGCGGGTAAACTATATGAAAAATCACTCTTTGCTCAAAATGAAGTTCCACAGGAGGCTGATGTGCACCTAAGAGCGTTACTTCGATGGCGTGCAAGTATAGATGTTTAAGAGTGGCAGTTGGTTGGCTGCAATGCTTCATAGTGCTACTATGATACAATTAGCGCGTTTTGCGCCATTTGGACGCATTTTCGTGCGAATGCTAAATACCCATGCATAACTAGTTTTCTTCTTGATTCCCTGATGAATTTTTCGATGTATGGTAGATCCTGATATACATATCTGGTAGTTTTGTTTGTATGTGTCTTCCTAGTGCTTTATGCCTAATAACCGCTAGAACTGGGCATTCACAAAGGAAATGCTGCCAGCTGCGGCAGACTAATATATGATAGCCCTATTCTCTCTGCATGTTTGCCTGTGGGCCTCGATCTATTAAGCAGGTCTCATGTCTTCGTCCTGCTATAGTTAGGCCAGAGTTCTCTAGCTATTTTGCAAGTCCGCACCACCTTACCCTTGTCACTCTAAGAAACTGCAAACCAAATCCTCTTTGAACGACTCCGAGGGAGCATCCCGTTCAACAGCCTCGGATTTTTCCAGGTAGGCTCCTGCTTTTGCATATTCATTCCTACTCATTTCCTTCAATGTTCATGCGGCCGCGAACCCAGACAAGAGAGACACCTCTTGACGCAGACACAGAGCATGATTCCGTTTTACACTTCTGGGCTAGCTGGGATTTGGTGATTGGTGATGCTAGTGCAAACAGAGCCGCTTGGTTGTCAGAGTATATTGTTGCTTTCTTAATTCTGCCGATGCGTTCTCCTATAACCTGAATTCATTTCCTGATAGCCGGTGTTGTTGGTGTCCGATCAATTAGCGTCGACCCGTTAGTTCTAGAACCCAATTTGGGTACTTTCGTGGTCCTCACCACGACGCACACAAAACAAACGCTATCGGCTCTGCCATTGCGATCACATGGCGAACAAAAAAGTGCCGCAGGAAAATAATAGTGACGTCACTATAGTGGATTTTCACGACATGATTTCCTGCTTCTTCTTTATACTATTCGTAGGTATTTTTTTGGCGTGAACACCCCTAATGGAGACTTTTTCCGACCACCGACAACAAGCAGCTTTGCTTCCCAAGCTGATCATTTCTTAATGCAATTAGTTGCCGGCAAAGTTCGGTCCCATTGATGGGAATGAAAAAAAATAAGGGTAAAACGTTGAAGCATACATTCTTTGTATTTTTGTTCGGCCAGCTAGCATATTCGATCAGTGCCAGAAAGAAGCTTGGTAAGAGTTTGAAAGCCGCTTTTATTAGTTATCATTTCAGACAGGCAATCAGTTATCAGCAGTCTATTCAATAGCACTATCGAAAGGATAGAGATCGTCGACGAGCTGGCAAGATAAAAGTCAGCCTGTGTGCTTTTGCGGTCGGAACCATCCTGTGTACTCAGCTAGTCTTCTTCGAGACCTTTAATTATAGAGTGTGTAAACTCAGAAACAAAGTAGGTACTGCACAGCGGTGGGGGGCCAGAAACAAACCAAGCTCTTTGGATATTTTATAAAGACTACTAGCTAGCAGGGTACCTAATCGCTTGTAACCAACTGCCCTCGCACATGCACCAATCGGTTTGGCCTGATCACGGTGACGGAATGCCATGAAGGCCAAGTTACTGCTGGCATTTATTAAGGAAGCTGGCAGCGCATTGGGATATATTATAGATGTCCAAAATATCTTCTATTTACATATATGTAGATCGCACGCCCCTTGTTCACCCAATTTACTAACTAATTAACTAAATCTTCTTTTTCTTTGGTTCTGTAACCGCCTAAGCGATTTTTGCCGAGTACCGCAAAGCACGCTAGTCACTGGAGGCAATTGGAAATGCCAAGTGATGCCAAATTCTTCTCCACTTTGCCTTTCCATAGCAGAGAAGGCCTTCCTTTTCTTCTGCTTCCAGCATCGCGTCCGCGCAAAGGCTTGTAAATCTATCGCAGAATCTTTCCCTCGAAAACTCCAAGAGCCGCCTGGCAGGCATGATGAGTGACTTTTGGAGTGAAATTTTTGCACGACGACTGCTCCTCCATAAATTATGTACGTTTTGGACGTCGTTCACTACGCCGCTATGGTTGTTTCTACATGAGTTCACTCTAGTCTTGAAATTTCCTGTTAGCGCCTAAGTCTCTGGCAGCATTTTAGGACGTTTTGAAGCACTTAGATCTCACGTATTTCGGCCTCTATCTTCTTATTGCGGCAAATTTTTGTCCTGCAGCTTCGTGTCATTCCTTATCGTACCAGGAGTTCTTTCGGGCCCGCTGTAATCCGATTTCCGGGAAATGTGATTCCACTGTCCGTGTATGTCGGTTTGTTGAAGAGTGCTCTCAGAGAGGAGGTGTGAGCGTGAAGTGGCGATTAATTTGATCGTCTGCTGTGATTGCAGCTCTTCGATGATGAGATTTCCTTGCATTATGGGACACAAATTTTTTTCTGCACATAGACTGATGCCTATCTTGGCTGCAACAAGAAAGTTCTCCGAGTCGATGTTTCGTTCCTTATATAGGGGTGATCTACCACTGTGGTCTGTAGGTCTAGTAAAAATTCTTAGTGTCCACGAGTTTGGGCTTATGTTGAGGCTCATGACCTCAGGGCTCAGTACCTATAATGAAGCGTTGGCGGAAAATAATTTCAAGACAACCAAAAAAATACTTGATTATCGCGAATAGCTGCTTTAAATAAAAAAATCTCTCCATCTATGCCTATTTGAGTATGAATTTATCATTTAATTAAAAACTTACAGGAAAACAAAATCATTAAAGTCATAAAAATGAGCGCATCAACAATTTTCTATTTACGTTCAAAAGATAATTGTTTCTCTCAAAAGAGCAGATTCATGCTGACCTCAAATGTTAAATAAACAAATGCACAATGGACAATGGAATGGAAATGACATCAGTCCGCCTGCACCTGTAGCATACTTTCCGCTCTGGCAATCAAAGTTAGTGGTAAGTGCGAAAATTCCTTTATCTTTATTTTACACATACATATATTTATGTATGTACATTAGACTGCATCACCAAAAAAAGTTGTGGTTTTTCCGCGGGGATTACAAAAGTTATTATATTTTAAGACGTCCACCAAAATATTTCGGAAAAATATTAAGATTTAAGCGAGCTGGACCGATTTGAAAATACCTCCAAAAATGAAGGTTTTTATGAATAAAAATAGTTTCTTAAAGAACTTTTTGAAAAAAGTCCCCTCAGATGACAAATTAGTATAAGCTTAAAAAATCTGCATAAAAATATTTAAAAATCTTTTCAACGGAATCGTAAGAATGAGATTTTTGATGCTTTTTTTTTACTTTTTTCAAAGATTGGTTTACGAAAAACTTGAATAACTGGGCCAAAAATGTTCTGATTTAGACTTGTGGGATCTCAGTAGAAAGGTATTTTCACACTGTTTTTATTTCTGGCCAAAAAAACGTCATTCGCGTCCCATCTTGTTTTTTCGAATACCAACACATCTTAGTTCAACTTTGAATGATGTTCGTTCATCCTACGTTTCTCTTCCACCAATCTTTGAAAAAAGTTAAAAAACAGCATCAAAAATTTCATCATTAAGATTCCGTTCAATTTTTTTTTAAATTTTTTAAAATATTTTTATGCAAATATTTTAAGCTTAAACCGTTTTGTCATTTGAGGGGATTTTTTCAAAAAAAAATCGTTAAGAAAATATTTTTATTCATAAAAAACTCCATTTTTGGAGGTATTTTCAAATCGGTCCAGCTCACTTAAATCTTAATATTTTTCCGAAATATTTTGGTGGACGTCTTAAAATATAATAGATTTTATAATTCCAATGGAAAAATAGTACCGATTTTTTTTTGTATGGGGAGTGATGCACTCTAATGTACATACATAAATATGTTTGTACGTTCATTACTTTTGCATGTCACTTATGTATGTTCGTGGTACTCTCACGTCCTTCAGTCTTTCGCTATGCTATGTTTATTTGCATGTGGGCAAATTTTCATTAAGTGACCAAGATCAAAAGCGTACAAACAAACAAAAGCAATGCAGCAACAACAGCAGCAGCAGCAGAACTTATCTCGGCCAGCATCTTGAGTGGTCAGTGTGACTTCTGATTGCTGCAGTTTCGTGTGAGGGGAAGCAAAAAGCTAAAACTTAAGATAAAATAAAATGAAATTTCATCAAAATGTGTGTTGTCGTCGTTGTTGTTATTGTTGTTGTTGTGCATGCGGATGTGAAGGTTCATGCAGTTCTTACCAATCCAATAAACAAAGGAGCTGTCCAAACGCTTGATGTTCCTACGAATACATATTTTCGAACCGTTATTTAGAAATTCACTCAAAAATGCTTATTGTGTTCACTTTAGCTACTCGGCACAGTGGTTCGAATCGCAAATCTGCGGAACGATATTATATAATCAAATACAATTTCATGAAGTTTTACACTAAACCTTATCTAGGGGATTTTTGGGTCGCTGATTACAAATCTGAAGTCGTTTACCAAATATTCGAAATAGCGGAACCAATATGGCGGACCAAAAAAAAAAATAAAAAAAAATTGGTAGACTTCTATGAAATTGGTACCTGAACGTTGCACTGCAATGTGGCGGATAAAAAAATCGGAACTCTTCATATGAGCAAATCTCACGAGTTGTTTTTTTAGTGTCACTCACTCTTCTCACCAGAAAAAAACGCTGGAGCATTCTTCTTGTATTTATTTCAATAAATTTGAGTTCCAGAAACCAGTGCAGTATTTGAACAGTTTTAGCTTTAAATCGTTTATTAAGGCGAAAAACTACCGAAATTACTAATTTTTTCATTGCCAACTGTGCGAAGTTTTCAGATATAATGTTCACATAAGACTCAATGAAAGCTGGAACCAAATAAAACATATTTGTGAAGTTTCAAAAGTGTGCCACCAAATTAAAAAAAATAAAATAAAATTGGAATAATGCAGTATATCTGACGCAGCTTTTTTGTAATTTTTGAAATTTAAAGGCTTTTTCAATTTAAAGACACTTCAAAAGTTACCATTAAATGGTAAAATGTTCTCTTTGCTAAAACGAAAGAATCTAGACGAAAGAAGAAGACGATAATTTGCGAAACAAAAATTCCAATTTTACAATTTTTATTGGCGCACTCAAAATTTATTCTAAAATTGTTATATTCATGAAGAAATTATTACATCCATATATTCGTGAAGAATGCTAAAGGAAAATATTTTTAATACTTTTAAATAATAGTGGTATTCATCTAAACCGATAACTTTATCAAGCAGATAATCTTATAAGTTTACGCACTCTGTTACATGAACGACCCACACTATCTTTTCGTTTACACATGCGACAATAGTCGTGTTTTCTTTTGTTATAGAGCTCAGTATCACTAACTTTATACTACTAGTACGAGGATAAAGAAATTTTAAAAACTAACTCACTAAATGTGAAAAAATTATATTTACGAGATAATATCTGTTTAAATAAATATACATATAACATAAAGGCTATTTATTTGAAGAAAGTTAGAAGAAACAATGGCAGAATGTCTGTTTGTGTTTGAATTCATTTGTCACGGCTACCAAACTTTGCGGCCAAATTATCAGTGAAACAAAACAAACATAACGGATAATAATTGAACCAGATCTCTATCAGGATCATATCGTTGTTGTTGAATTCGCGTGCAAAATTTGTATGCGGATCCCGATTATTGCCCAAGAAAACATAGCTAGAGTTGCGACAGAGTTGCATTGGCTTCAGTTTATCAAGTTTATTAAGTGAAATCGCTGGAGAAATTTATCAGAAATGTGTAAACGAGTCTCCATACAAATTTTGACAGTTCATTTATAAGGTTTACACAATTATAAGTTTATACGGTTTACAATGCATTTATAAGGTTTGATGAATACCCTTA